CTCTCTCAGTCTATATCACCGTTTCTTTCTATATCTTTCTCTCAGTCTCGCTCTCGTTCTCTCTGTGGTATAGATAGTCAATCCCAATTGCAATGTCTTTTTCTCATCATGTGGCTGGAACAAGTTTAGCGACAGATTTGAGTGTCACTCTCTCTCAGTCTCTCACCCACTCTCTATATCTCTCTATGTTTCCTTTTCAGTCTCCCTCTCTCGCAATATCTCCCTCTCAAACGCTCTCTCCCTCTGGTTCTGTGTATTTCAGTCTCGCAGTCTCGCTCTCGCAATACCGCTCTTGCAATTACTCTAACTCTCTCACGCAGTGTATGTCTCTATTTCTCTCCATCTTTCTCTCTCACTGTGTGTTTCCTCTCTCACTCTGTCTCTAACAATCTGTCTCTCTCTGTCTCTCTCAAACTCTTTCTTGCAATCTCACTCTCGTAACATGTCTCTTGCAAGCTCTCTCTCACAATATCTGTGTCTCTGTCTATGTGTGTGTATCTCTTTCTTGAGTAATGTGTATCCCTCTCTCTTTCTCTGTCTCAGTCTCTCTCTCACACCGTCTCTCTGTCATAAAAACATAAGAACATAAAAATTAGGAGCAGGAGTAGGCCATTCGGCCCCTCGAACCTGCCCCGCCATTCAATAAGATCATGGCTTATCTATTCTAACTCCACCTACTCACCTTATCCCCATATCCCTTAATTCCTTTATCCACAAGAAATCAATCTCAGTCTTGAACATGTTCAAGGACTGAGCATCTACAGCCCTTTGGGGTAGAGAATTCCATAAATTCCATAAATACTGATTTCCTTTCTGTGTCTTTCTGTGTTTCGCCTCATCATCCTGGGCGACTTTAACCTACACTTCACACCCTCCTGCTCCATCTCCACAGACTTCTCTTCCCTGCTCTCCTCACTCAACCTCTCCTTACACATAAACTCCCCCACTCACAGTCACGGCCACCCACTCGATTTGGTGATCACCCGGGGCCTCAGTGTCTCGGATGTCACTATTACCGACAAGGCCATCTCTGACCACTACTTCATCTCCTTCACCACCTCCACCCCCCTCCCCACCTCCACCAGACCCACCACCATCTTCTACCGCCCTTGGAAGAAGTTACCCCCACAATCCCTAACCGATGCCTTGGAGTCCTCTGAACTCCTCTCCCTCTGGCCTTCAACCCTCACCGACCCCTCTTCTCCTCTCTCCCTCCTCCACAATACCCTCTCCTCCACACTCGATACTCTTGCCCCCATCACTTCCCGCACTGTCTCCTACTCCCGCTCCTCCCCCTGGTACACCACCCACCTCCGCTCACTGAAAAGCCAGGTGCGGGCTGCTGAACGCACCTGTGTCAAATCTGGCCTAACGGTCCACCGACAAATCTGGCTGGACCTCCTCAAAATTTACCGCTCCACTCTAGCCTCGGCCAAGTCGTCCTTCTACTCCAGGATAATCCTGGAGGCGAAGAACAACCCCAGGCTACTGTTTTCCACCACAACCCGACTCCTCCGTCCCCCCCGCCACCCCGCGCAGGTCATCTCCTCCAACCTTCACTGCGAGGAGATGCTGGATTTCCTTGAATCCAAGATCAAGGGAATCCGCTCCGCGGTCACTTCCCCTCCAACTTCCACCCACCACCCACCCCTTCCCTCCCACACTCCGACTCCTACCCATCCTCCCCTACACACCTTCGTACCCGTTTCCCCACCCTCTGTCACTGAACTCATCCTATCCCTAAAACCAACCACCTGCTCCCTTGACCCCATCCCCACTCCACTCCTTATCTCCCAGCTCCACTTTCTTGCCCCACATATCACTGACATCATCAACCTGTCCCTCTCCTCTGGCTCTGTCCCCATTCCATTAAAAACTGCCATCATCACGCCCACCCTGAAAAAACCCTCCCTTGATGCGTCGCAGCTATCAAGCTACCGGCCCATCTCCAACCTCCCCTTTCTCTCCAAGGTCTTGGAAAGAGTTGTCGCCTCCCAACTGCGCTCTTTCCTTCCACCCATTCTCCTTTCGAACCCCTTCAGTCAGGTTTCCGTGCTGCCCATAGCACAGAAACTGCCCTGGTCAAGGTCACCAATGATATCCTGACCATCTGTGACCAGGGCTCCCTCTGTCTCCTCGTCCTCCTCGACCTATCGGCAGCATTCGATACGGTCGACCACGCTATCCTACTCCACCGCTTGTCCTCCCACCTCAACCTTCAAGGCACTGTCCTTGAATGGTTTAGGTCGTACCTTTCTCACCGTCTTCACTTTGTCTCGACGAATGGCTTCTCCTCCACCCCCCGTACTGTCTCATGTGGTGTCCCTCAGGGCTCTGTCCTCGGTCCCCTCCTCTTCACCCTCTATATGCTCCCCCTTGGTGACATCATCCGCAGACATGGAGTTAACTTCCACATGTATGCGGATGACACCCAACTCTACCTTTCCTCCTCTACTCTCAACTCCACGACCACCGATGTCCTGACAGCTGCCTGTCCGACATCGAGTCCTGGACGAGAGACAACTTTCTTCAGCTCAACGTGCGAAAAACCGAGGCCCTCCTGATTGGCTCACGTCAGCGCCTCCGCACCTCAGGCGCTGACACCATCAGCATCCAAGGCTGCACTCTCCACCTCTCAAAGCCAGTCAGGAACCTCGGCGTTTTGTTCGACCCTGAGCTGTCCTTTCTCCCTCACATCCGCACCACAACTGGCACCGCCTTCCATCACCTCCGGAATATCGCCAGACTACGGCACTACCTCACCCCTCACGCTGCTGAAACCCTGGTTCACGCCTTTGTCACCTCAAGGCTGGACTATGGGAACTCTCTCCTCGCCGGCCTTCCCGCCACCTCCCTCCACAAGCTGCAGGTCATTCAGAACTCTGCAGCTCGTGTACTGTCCCGCACCAGGCTTCGGGACCACATCACTCCCACCCTCGCTCGCCTCCACTGGCTCCCCATCCCCCAGAGGATTGATTTCAAGATCCTCATCCTCACCTACAAGGCCATTCACGGCCTTGCTCCCTCCTACCTCTCCAACCTACTATCCCCCTACCTACCTGCCCGTACCCTCCGTTCCTCTGGCTCCGGTCTGCTCCACGTCCCCCGCCCCAACCGCCCTACCATCGGTGGTCGGGCCTTCAGCCTCTCAGCCCCAGGCTCTGGAACTCCATCCCCCAGTGCCTTCGCCTTGCTTCCTCCCTTTCCTCCTTCAAGGCCGGTCTCAAAACCTTTCTCTTTGACCGTGCCTTCAGCTCCCCTCTCGACTCTCTTCCCCTCCTCGCTCCCTCCCTTCCCTCCCCTCACCCTGACCATTTCCCCCTCCTCGCTCCCTCCCTTCCCTCCCCTCACCCTGACCATTTCCCCCCAATGCTCGGGTCATGACCCAACTGTGCAGCGCCTTGGGACGTCCTCCTGACGTGAAAGGCGCTTTATAAATGGAATCTTGTTGTTGTTGTTGTTTCTCTCTCTCTCTCTTAGTCTGTGTGTGTCTCTATCTTCTTTCATCCACTCTCTCCCTCTCTCACACTCTTCCCTCTCCCTCTCTCTCTTTATCTCGCTCACACACTTCCTATCTCTCCTCATCTATCTCATGCTCTCACTTTCCTATTCTCCCCATCTCTTACACACACTCTCACGCTCCCTTTAACTCACACACTTTCTCTCTCTCACTCTCTCCGCAGGTCTCTCCTGCTTCTCTCTCTCTGCTCTCGTTGTCCCAGAATACTCTGAGATTAAACTGTGATTTGACTCTCAACATACAGCTCGCTCCTGCTCTCCTTTCTCAGTGAAATCCCTTCTCTCTCATTCTGACATATCACACGTTGAACGGAATCAGTCACTTGGTAATTACGAGGATGGTACCAGGAATGAGGGACCTTGATTATGAGGAAAGGCTGGAGAGGTTAGGATTATTCTCATTGGAGCAGAGAAGGTTACGAGGAGACCTAATAGAGGTCTTCAATATAATGAGGGGATTTGATAGGTTAGAAAGGGAAAAACTGTTGGGCGTGTCGGTGACTCGAGGGCACAGATTCAAAATAGTATCTAAAAGAAGCAGAGGGGAGGTGAGAAGAAATTTCTTCACGCAGTGTGTTGTTCGAATCTGGAACACATTGACTGAAAGGGTGGTCGAGGCCGATTCGATAACTACTTTCAAAAATGCGGTTGATGGGTATTTGAGGAGGATGGGTTTGCAGGGTTAAGGGGAAAGGGCTGGGGAGTGGGATTGACATTACGTTGCTCTTTTCAAAGAGCCGCACAGACTCGATGGACCGAATGGCCTGTTTTTGTGCTGTACGATTCTATGATTCTATGATTCTAAGTGTGACAGAGAGAGATACATAGAAAGAAAGAGATCCTGAATGATTATATGAACTCCTCTGCTCAGTTATAAGCTAATTGTTAACATCAGCTATACTGAGAGAGAGAGAGAATGAAACAGAATGAGGGAGAGCGAATCAGGGATAGATTGAGATGGAATGAGAGTTTGAGTACGAGAGACAAAGAAAGAGTGTGAGAAGCTGGGAAATGAGAGAGAGATTGAGTGAATGAGGAAGGAAGGGAGGGAGGATGTGACTGAGGAATTGGCTGATGTGAATGAGTTCATGATTGAGGGCCAAACTGATTGACTGAATAAGAGAGGGAGTGACAGAGGGAAGGGCCAGTCATTCAGTGAATGAAGGAGGGATGAGTGAGTGATTGGGTGAGTGAGTGAGAGTCAACTTTCTCCAGTTGGACGCCCCCCTTGCTCGCCTACTTCAAAGGCTGTCTCAAGAACTTCCTCTTCGACCGCACATTTGGTCATCATCTTACCCCTACCTTCCAATAACAGTGACGCATCTATAAAGTCTGATATTAACAGTGACAAGTCCATATAGGCTGTCCTACCCTGTGACACCGCAGTCTGGCGTCTCCTGTATCTACTCCTCGTTCTGTTTCGTGTCTCATATTTCATCACAGCCAATCCTGACATTACGGTTTCACACTTCAAAAGATTGTACATTCGTCAATTTTATTGCGACACGAACTCAACACAAAACAAAACAGCATTTGTGTATAGCGCTTTTCACATCAGGAGGACGTTCCAAGGCTGAAAGTGTTAAATTATGAGGACAGCTTGCATGAACTTGGTCTCTATTCCCTTGAGTTTAGAAGGAGGAGGGGTGATTTAATCGAGGATTTTAAATAATAAAGAAATTCGATAGTGTAGATACAGAGAAACTAGGCCCCTTGTTGGGGGGCAACGTGGAGCAAGGGGGGCATTGTCTTAGTATTACAGCCAGGCCATTTGGGAGTAAAATTAGGAGCAGTTTTTCACCCAAAGGCCAGTGGGAATCTGGAACCCTCTCCCCCAAATGGCTGTGGATTATGCTGGATCCATTCACATTGTCCAGACGGAGGCGGAGAGATGTTTGTCAGGTCGGGGTGTTAAGGGATACGGGGCAAAGGCAGGTAACTGGAGTTGAGATACAGATCAGCCGTGATCTGAAAGAAAAGCCGAACAGGCTCGAGGGGCTGAATGGCCTCCTCCCTTTTCTATGTTCCTACATCACCTCCATTCTCTGCCCGGTAACCCCCATACCCTCTCTCTGAATGGTCACCCTCACCCATCTCTCTCTGCCCGGTAACAGGTGACTCACCCCGTATGCACTCTCTGATTGGTCCCCATCATATCTCTCTCTGACTGGTAATGGACCCCGTTCCCCCTCTCTGATGGTCACCGTCGCCCCTGCTATTGGATCAGTGTCAGCTCGGTGCCCCGCCGTATGCTGAAGTAAGGGTAGAGTTTCTCAGTGAACGTGTCGATGAAAGTGAAGAGACGAGACATGTGGACAGCGTTGTACAGCGACACCTGTCCTCCCTCATAGTCCAGGTACACGCCCAGCACCCGGGGGTTCACACTCATGTGGAGGGGTGCAAGAGGTGATGTTAAAGCTTGATATTCCCGATTGACCAGCCTCACAGCCCAGACTCCAGTCTCAGGTTCATGTGTGAAACTCTCCTTCCTGGGCACAGACTCTTGGGCCACCCCCACTATCCAATATGGGCTGTTTTCCACTGCTACCTCCCAGTAGTGTCTCCCTGATGTGAACCCCTCAGACCCCAGGACACTGGCCCAGTGACTGAACCTCTCCGGGGTGTCAGGAAACTGCTGACTGTAACCGAGTCTCACTCGGGTTCGGTCCGGCGACAGGAAGAGCCGGGGATTGGCTGTGTTAGGATCCAGAGTCAGAGAGGCTGGAGCTGAAACAGAGAATGTTGACATGTTGGTGTTCATGTGGTGAACGGTTGATGTTATATTTCAATGGTTCATTCAGTGAGGTTTGGATTCCTGCTATGTGTGTCTCAGCCAATTGTGCACAGAATGGCCCACAAACAGTCATGGATTGAGTGACAAATTAAATTTTTTTAAAGGAAGTATTACCACCACAAATGTAAGTTGCCAATCGACTGACAAACCAGGTTCCTATTTACTTCCTATTTACAGATACAGATAGCAGAGGCATGTGGAGTAAGAAAATTTGCCCAACCAGGAATCGAACCCATGTCTCTCCTTTGTAAGATTGAATGCTCTAAACGCTGTGCTACAGGTCTCCATTTCATATGGATTTGCAAGTATGAAAAAAGTGGGTTATAAACTCTCTAATATGATATGTGAAAAGGTTAATTTGGCTGTTGAGACTATGATTTCCAAAGCCACCAATATTGTTTTTTCACCTCGTTGTGGAGCAGAAAAGTATAAAGAGTAGAATATATGTTGATTTTCTACTTTGATTACCTTTTAGTGTGATCTTTCAGCTCTGTAGCCTCTCAATGTATTGTTACTTTAGTGATACTTGTGTAAGACAAGGGTGCTCACTATTTTCAATGTAACATTTAGGTTTCAAGGAGACTTTGGATTATTTATTTAATATTTGGTTGATGACCAGCTGCATCACCGCAAGTGTGGTGTCTTTGCTGTGTTCCCTTTAGTGTCAGAGGTAAATGTGTACAAAACGGTTGGGTTGCACACTGGGGCTGGTGTAAGGAGAGTCAAGGCTTTATTGAGCAATAAGAGTACAGATACTTATCGTAAAGTTACGTGGAGTTCCTGGCAGCTTCCATCTGCACTTGTTGGATATCAGATGACAAGTGACTAAACTCTGGGGGACAGCGGGATTCGGGAGAGGGTGGAGGGGGGGAGGGGTGTGTGTGAAACGGGGGCTGTTTAGCGGGGATCCCTCGTAGCTGAACTGTCTCAAAGTAGGGTAGAGAGCGGGGGAGTAGAATTGATTTGGGTATCTCTAACTGGCACAGATACGATGGGCTGAATGGCCTCCTTCTGTGCTGTATAATTCTATGATTCTTTTCAGTAATATGCTTACAATGAGATATGAGAATCGAGCTCACCATCTGTGGCAATCTCCAGCCTGGTCTCTGAGCCTGGCAGTGCTCCATGCCTGATGACAGTGCAGTCAGCCTGTCTCATTGGCAGGACATAGAAGGGCAGCCGTCACTGGGGATAGGGATTCTCCCAATAGGCCCTTAAGCATGCCAAAGTCCTTGTGGGTTGAGCAGCCCTTTGGCCCAGCAAAGGGAACCCTGCCAGAGGATACCCTGAATGGCGAATTATGTGGTTTCAGCTGGTTAGTTTCCAGCAGTTACTTCAACTCAAACTCCGGTGTCACTAAGCCATGGCTCTCGCCAATTTGCAGCTATTATTCTCCCGAATTATGTAAGCAGGATGTGTCCCTCCAGGAAGAGTATGGATTCCATTCCAGATATGGGAATATCCATTGTCAGTGGGATACATGAAATTTTACGTCTGTTTTGGATTCTCTTTAGCTTGTTGATGAGAATAACCTATGTCAGATACCTAGCTGTCCACAAAAAATGCCTGTATACAGATTCAACGTAAAGTAAATAGCACAAATTTGTGCATCAGCATTGTGACTGATAATTTCTCTTCTTTTACATATCAGATTTCTAATATGTTGAGATATAAAGCACACAAAATACCCTGACCATTACCCTGAACATACTCTTCCCACGCAATCATTGACCACCCGCCACATCACCCACTGGTCGATCACCTCTTCAACCCCTCACCTCCCCTAACTTTCCATCACCTCACTGCCCCTGCACCATTCCCCCCTCCCCAGTTCTGCTTTGCCATATGATATATCCCACAAACTTGTCATGCTCCCTGGAAGCTTATATCATTCCACTTATCCCTCACCCAATATTCTCCTTATTTCTCACGCGATATTCTCCTTATTTCTCATACAATATTCTCCTGATCTCTCACTATTCTCAAAACGTGAATCTCTGTATCTTGTTCTGAACAACTCAGCCCCCAGTCCCAGTTCCTATTATTCCACTGCCCATACCCAGTGTCTCACTCAATGTGTCTCCATATCTCACTTTTGTGTCCTTATTACTCCTCATACCACACTCCTCCTTCATGAACACTCTCCATCTGATACATTAATCATTGGTGTGAATTGATATCTTTCCTTGAGCCGGTGCGGTCACGAAGGGCCAAATGGCCATGTTGTGCACTGTAGCTTCCATTGTTTCTATAAACATATATGAGTTATTTGCATCCCTCTTGGTCATAGTCAAAATGTTTGAAAGCGGATGTTTGAAATCTTGTGGTCGAAGCCTCTATTATATTCTCCCTGGCTTCCCTCAGACTTCTATTAGGGATAATTTGACTCTTAACTGCCTTTGATTATAAAGGAAATGTATTGCTATGGCATGATTTTCTGTTCATCACTCGAATTTATGTGCAGTATCTCGCACTCTACCCCATTTCCATTGCTGTAGATGTCAGTGAAAAAATTCAAAAAGAGGAACAGTTCAATTCATACCTTGCCTTCAAATTCCATTCATATTATTCTGATCCAATTTTCAATAGAATCTTGATTAACAACTTCACTCTCCCATTTTTCCTATCTCTCTCTCACTTACCTTTATGAAGAACCCCCGTCAAACTTTTTGTTTTCATCTTGCTCAGAGCTGTAAAGAGTTGTGTCATACTGTGAAAGTTATCGTCCTCCCTATCACTGTCATTGCAATTGGTGGGCTCTCCAGAGGTTACGGTATTGGTGAACATAGCTGAGGTGTTGAATCTGAAGTGAACTGGCATCTTGTCTTCTTTGGGACATGGTAAGTCAGATTGGACGATGGCTTCGAGAACAGGAGGAAGCTGTGTATCTGCGAAGGTGACCAGTACACGGATGTTCTCAGTCACATCTTTACTAAACAGGGAAAGAAATGAACTAAATTGATATTCCTGACCAGAAGTTAATTGCACTAAATAGGCTTGGACAACAAGATACAAAGCATCGATGTGTTTTACACCATCTTGAGAAGAAAAGATGCCTTTGATCTGATGATAAAGCTTGTACCATCTAATGTATTCAGGCACATGCTTATTTTGTGATGTTTCCCCCAATCTGGGGATATCTACAATATTCAGAGAGAAAGGAATCCTGAATTGCTCTTGGTGGTTGACTTCATAGACAATGATTGAAGATGTTTCAGCCTGGGAGCGGTTTGTTACTTCCTCGGTCATTTTGTAACGGAACGAGTCCTCCTGCTCCACACCAAGGATGTAGTTGATCATAGCATTGATGAGACTGTTTTTTCCAAATTCTCTTTCTCCGAGAAGCAAGATGGTCTTTTCACTCCGTGTGGGTGAGCAGCTTCCAAAGCTGTATTTTATAAGCTCTCCATTCTTGCCAAGTCTCTGTGTATGTAATGGGAGCTTGTAAATAGCATGACTTCTGGTTATTAATGTGCTTCCTGTGAGAGGCCTTCGGGCCCCTGACTTTGGTTCTTTGTCTGTTGTTATTGAGGCCAGCTGACTGGGTGCACTCGCTACCTGTCCACACACAGCAGACACCCTCAGTGTGTAAGTTGTGCCGGGGTTCAGCCCCTTCAACATATGAAGAAGTTCACTGCTTTTCGTCCTAATCGTTTTCCATATGTTGGGCTCAGGGCTGGGGATTCCGCTCATGGTTTCTCTATACTCTAACTTGTAGTGGTCTATAATGACCCCATGTCCAATCTGGGCAGGCATGTCCCAGGAGACTTCCACATTACACTCCCCTACCAGGCACATTGTAACCTTCTCTGGGGCACTTGTGGGCAGTGTTGTCACACTCACAATATCACTAGGTGGACTACACGCTGCTCTGTATTGGATCTGATACTCCAGGTATGGAGATAAACTAGTTATGGTGCATAAGTCTGATTCCATCTCTGTGTTTGAAGTTGCCCATTCTTCCCCCTGGGCATTGCGATATTCCACCCAGAACTGGACGGACTCACCATTGCCAGGGTCTAGTGCCTGTAACTGTAGCTTTATACTGTCGTGTGTCTTTCTACAAACTGAGGGAGCCTGTGGTTGTGCTAGAGGCTTGAAACAGCGGCTTACCAACACTCCCCCTTCATACAGGTAAATGGAAGCTCCCACATGCTCCTCGTCTGGCTCAGAAGCAACAATGAACTTTGTGTTTTTATCCGCTTTGTTGGCTTTGTGAAACATCAGGAATAATCGTGCTCGCTCTCTCATTTCACGGGACACATTCACTGAGTAAATCCATTCCTTCTCATCTGATGTTGCAAGCTGGGTCTTCTCAGTGGTTTCACATTGAAGATAGTTGGCCATTTCTAACAAATACAAATCTTCCTTGTGCAGCGATGTGAACATGAAGCAGATCACATACACTGTGGTCATGTCCAGTATCTCCCTATCCAGCTCACTGCGTGATTTTACCATTTTTATGTCATTCATTTTGCTGAGGTAACCTCTGACCAGAGAAATTTCCCTGTTCTTGTTGTCCAGCCATTGTATGAGTGATTGGCTTCTGAATGGAGATTGTTCCATGTTCTTCAGAATATCTGCCAGTTTCCCTTCCTCCTCCTCACCTCCCCGTATCGATGGCAACACTCTAGCCAAGACTTTCTGGAAATCCTGTTTGTACTCCACGCACATCGCTCTGAACCTTTCGATCTTTTTTTTTATCTCTGGACATTGATCACTGACTTGGTCTTTCATCATATCATTGCATCTTATCTCAACCTCATTGATTTGCTCCAGAACAGCCTGGGACCGATTGACCATATTTATACTGATGTCTGTTACAAACTGAGCTGCTTTTGAGTCAAGTTGGTGGAGTGGGTAGAGCCAGGCTTTGACAGGCACCACTTGCTTTCCATCCTCTCCCATCAGCTGTGGCAGAGTTGTGTACACCCTCATGGCATCTTCAAATGTAGTGGGATTGTTTGGAAGTGCAAAATCACCATAAAAAGTGCAGCTCAACTTCTGGGCAATTGATTTTTCTTCTTCTTTCATTTTCAATGCACCTTCACCATGGATTCCAATCTTTGGGATGATGTTAATAGACATTTTCATTGTACCCTGAATATCTGTTACATTTTCTGAGGAAGAGACTTCTCGATCAAACACAAAGAATGCCTGAGCGCCGTACAGCACTGCTGTGATCACGTGCGTTGCTGTGCCCTGATCGAACACGTAGGGATAAGACACATTCTGGCGCCCCAAGTGGGTCATTGTCAATTGTTCAAATGTTGTTGTGGTGGAATACTGGAGGGTCACTCGGGCCTGCTGCTCAGATTCCTTTCTGTCATTCAGGAACTTTGCAGAACCTTCCACCTGAACCAATCCACCCAGAAAGCTCCCCTTCAATGTCGCTGTGACATTCAGGGCATTAGTTTTGTCCTCAATGCAGTCAGAGACAATGGTATTAAACTCTGTGTTGGGCTGAGATCGCACATCCAGATTATTTTTCAATGTTTCCAAGTCCCACAGTGTGACACCTGGAAAATGAGACATGGAAACATACTGACACCGAGTCTAGTAACAGGACAGGATTAAGAGGGATAGTAGTGGAATCTACAGTGGATTCATAAGCAGGCAAGCGGAGGTTAAACAGAGTTTACTCAGCAAAGTTACCGAAGGTAGTAAGGTCCATATTGATTCTAGTAATATGTTAATATGTTGCTTTGTGTGCATGTGTGTGTGTGTATGTGTGGGGTGGGGTGGTGGGGGCGGGGTGGTGAGATCATCCAGGTTTTTGCCACATGCGGAAAACTCTCACTGTGGTTAACAGTATCCAAATCAAGCTGAGATTTCCATTCATCCCGCCAAAACATGGAAATCCCAAGAGGTTATTGTAATGGAATATGCATTCTCTTCCCAGAGGGACACATTCTGCTTACCTAATTCTGGAATTTATTAGATACAAATTGTCGACAGTCAAGGTTTGAGGAGCCCAGAGTGTATGTTCTTATACTGCTGCAGTCTATTCAGATACAACCATATTACTATATTAATATTGCTTTCTCATTGTTTGTCCAGCTGGAACCCTACCCATTAGGACTTTAGCTTACAGGATTAATAAGAGCTGAGTGGGATGACTCCCTGCCCCTACTGAATAGTCTGCCCTTACAGTTCCTGCTGATGAGCAAGGGTGGGCTGTGAAGTCATTTCCAGTCCCCTACAATACTGCCAGCTTGCCCGGCTTAGAAAACTGATGACCGAAATTGTCAGAGATGCCTGGCTCGATTCCAAACATTTTATTGCCTCCCATGTCTCCTTTGAGCTGGTTCAGCAATATACAGGATCGTTGCAAAATATAACGTGCTATATACTGAGTACAGCAAATATAGAGGATTCAGACAGAACATAACTCTGCCCGCACTCAGTACAGTAAATAATAAAAATAATTCTTGCATTCATCGTGTCCTTTCATATCTTCAAGAAAGTGCTTCACAGAATGTACCATTAGGTGAATTGGCTGTATGTTTTGAAGGAAAATGCAGCAGCCAGTTACACAAACAGTTCATGGATTGACTGACTATTTTTTTGAAGAAGTTATTACCCCTGTAAAGCGATCTGCCAATTGACTAAGAACCAGGTTCCTACTTACTGTTACGTAAACAGAGGCGTGGGGAGAAAGGAAACTTTCCCAAAGTTTTGCCCGCTGCAAATTGAACCTGCGAGGCTCGTTTGCGAGGCTAGTGCCCTAACGACTGAGCCACAATATTCCACAGGAGTAAACTGTAGTAAATGTATGGAACAGCCTCTCTCGGGAGGCAGATAGTGGAAGCGGAAAGTGCTATTTTTCTCAAGAGCAAATTAGATAGATTTCTGTTGGGAAATATTATCTGGAAGTATATTGTATAGAGGATTCACACAGAACATAACGGTGCCCAGACTGAATAAAGTATTCCCGGGCAGAGCAAAATCTTAGATAGCTTTCCTCACTCCACACACCACTATTTGTAAGTAGGAACCTGGTTATTAGTCTTGGCAGATCAGTTTCCAGAGATAATGTTTCCTTCAAAAAACAGGTGCACAAAATACAGTCAACTCACTTAGCAGTATATTCTGCAAAGCGCTTTGAGAGGTCTCAATGACATGATAATTCACTAAATTAAAGAATTATTATTCATATCATTATTAAAATGTGCCACTTTGACTGCGCCTAATCACCTTCCCCCACCTCTTCTTTTCTCGGGGTCTGAGGCCATCCATGGGCAGCACTCTGAGATATTATTCTATGTTAAGGAACCTATACACGTTTTTTTAAATTGTTGCTGTGGTGTGCTTAAATGAGTTCACTGACATGTTTGTTTCACTTCCAGCTATTATACTTCCTGTATCTTGACACATGGCGGTGTCAGAGCACAGATTGGCTGACATTACCTGGGATCAGAGAGTCTGAGCGACAATCGTACAACATCCCCAACTGGAATGGACGGCCTAAACACGCCAGCTCTGTGCTCACATTTGCCATCGTCAACACAGGCCAGAACGTCACTGCTGCAGAGAGAGAGAAACAATTGTTATTATCATTGCATAGAAATATCTCATTATTTCATAGATACATACTGTGAAATAAATTATAATAATAACTATTATTAGAACTAGAGCATCAAGCTCCATATCAGGTGAAGGGCGCTATTGAAATACAAGTTATTCTTCTTGTGTTATTGTTAAATGTAGTATTTAGGCATTAATTTAATTCTCCGTCAACCATTCTATTCTTCTCCACCACCTTTCCTCTCAGCTCCAGATTCACGGTTCTGACTTTATTTGGATTCATGCTTATCTATCACAATGTCTCCACTTTATATCTGCCAATGGCTTCTCTTCCTGCCTCTGCACTGTCATATGTGGCATCCTCGGGGCTCTATCCTCTGCACTGTTCTCTTTAATATCTACGTGCTCCTGCTCATTACTGTCATCTGCAGGAATGGGGCTAATTTCCACCAACAGATGTAACAGAGTTTAGGAGGAACTTGGTTTTGCTCACAAAGGGTAGCGTAAGACAATTGAAGAATCTTAACCCTCCCCACACCCCCTCAATGTCGTGCTCCACCACTGTCAAGCACTCTGAGGTGCTACTCTGCGTGAAGGGCGCTATAGAAAGTTAACCAAAAAATGTTGACCAAAGGCAAAGCAACCTGTCTCCTAGAGAAGCTACTGATTACATGTGCAAGCAAGCAACCATCGTCGGCAAATGAGGTAAGAGACAGTATCAAGGTGGAAGGAAAGACAGTATCAAGCTAATGGAAGGAAAAGTGGAAATCCAGCGAACTGAGACAGGTATAAAAAAGGGACACAAATCAAGAAATAATAGGTCAAAATGGAAATGGCGGTGGTGGTGGTGGAGGGGCGGGGGGTGTCGGGGACCTTGCAAGTGATATTAAGGGCAACAGTAAAAGTTGTTATGATTAGATTAAGATAAAAGGGAGTGGTAAAGGGGAATTTGGGCCCTGTAATAAATATAGGTGAGACAATTCTGGATAATAATGAAATGGCAAACTAGGTAAACTAATACTTCCGTCTGAACATAGAGGAAGAGGACAAAATACCAGTGATACAAGGAAATGGTAATGGAGACAATAGTGAGACTAAGGATAGACAAATCTCAAGGAACTGATGGTATCCACCCCAGGGTACTAAAAGTAACACAGTAGGAACTTCAGTTGTGGGGAAGTTACTGGAATCTCTCAATGACTGAGCATTTGGACAAGTATGCACTCATTAAAGAGAGTCACCATGGATTATTGAAGGGTTGGTTTCATCTAATGAATCTAGGAGGAAACTTTACACAGGATATATTGTGAAAAGGGGCTATGGAGTGTATTTTGTGGGTGAAAACGGCAGAAAATTTTCACAAATTAATGTCCTCCACACAAACATGGAACCATTGTTAACCAGGAACCTGGCAGAAACTCTCTTCTCTTTGCCGTGGGATCTTTATAAACAACAACAAATACCTTGCATTTATGTAGTACCCTCTTTCAAGATAGCATCCCAAAACCCTTGACAGTGGGGGAGCGCGACTCTGAGACTGGGTTAGGGTAGAGGTGAACATATGATCATGGGAAGGAAGGTATGTGGGGAGGTTAGGCATCAGTATTTATTATGAGTTTAGACTGAAATCGCATGAACTAATTGGACTGAGTGGCATTTTTCAGCATAAATAAAATAATAGTAATCTTTCATTTGGTATATTACCTTTCACATCAGGAGCAGGTCCTTCAAAGTCCTTCACAGAAATACACTCTGTGAGCCTATAAGGTTGAATGCCAATTAAAACCCAGCTTAGTCCCACAAGTATCGTTGAAATTAACCACAATTTTGGAGGGAATTGTCAACCAGGACATCGGGAGAAACCCCTTCTTTGTAGTACTTTAGATTCTGTTCATGTAAATTGTGTTGATTATTGTAGGTGCAACAATATCCCAGACCAAGCTGGAAATTACCATCAGGAAGTGTCCCGCTGTCGCTTATTCACAACAAAAAACTCTCGCAAAGTTAAATTGGAATAAGTGTCCTGTCACCTTAATTTCTGAACAGTTTATATTTTGTAAAGCGCTTTGAGATGCTCAATTTTACATGAAAGATTAATGTGAGTTATCGTCATACAAGGACTGCAGAGAATACAAATTGTACGGGTTTTTTTGGTGAGCCAGATTGCTTCCACTCATCCCCCACTTACCCGAATTAAACTGAATCATATTCCTCCAGCAGGAAGACATGTATCCTGCAGACAAGTCTCCACGTCCACCCCCCTCACCCCATCTAATTTCTAGCTCATCAACAACCACAAATTACATCTATATAGCGCTTTTCATGTCCCAGGAGGACGTCCAACATCAATAGAAGATGTCGATCCGATTCCTTACTCATGGTCTCTCAACCAGATTAGGTGACGGGATCGCCTCTCCAGGTCAAGCCCGAGCTGAGCCTGGTGACTAAGTGCTCAGTGCATTTCAGTTTCTTCGGCTCCTCTATGTGAGGGCGGATCAAACTCCTCAGAAAGGAAATACTGCAATACTGATGCCAGCCACAAGGGGACCGACAGTATCGCTCTCCAGACAGAAGCCCGTCCTCCCATACTGTAATGTGGCAAGCAGGTCCAACCCTGTGGCTGCTGAGAGCAACATGCTGGATTTGAGAAATGTGTCGGGGCTGCGAAAGCAATATTTGTTTGTTTCCCTTCCTAACCCTTAAAAATACCCCACCACCCCTTAGACAATGAGCTTGCTTCTATCCCATCACTATTCTCAATCAGTCCTTCTCTCTCACCACCATCCTCACCCTTTCTTTCTCCTGGAAACCTCTAAACCAGTCCGAGTATTCTCTGCTCCAGCTTAGGCATCCACCATGGTTCTCAGCCATCCCAACTAGCCCATCACCCATTCTATCCAAAACAGTGGCCATCACTGAAAGGCAAACACCCCTTCCCTCCTCCACATCCTCACACTTCGCAACTCTCCACCGCCACCTCGGTCACTTCTCCCCCACAGCCAAAAAAACACCTTACCTTCTCTCCCTACCCCTCCACCATTAGCACTCAGCATTTCAATATATCCGCTCCCTTTCCAATAAAGCCCCCAGTGAAGCCCCTTCCCCTTAATCATCAATGGACGATGTGGATCTGATTCCCAACTCATGGCAAGTCATGCGACTGGATTACCTCTCTGGCCTTGGCATGCCCAGCCTGAGCCTAGTAACCAAGGGCTCAAGGTAGATCCATATTTTGTTTTCTTTGCTCCTCCTGAAAGGACAGATCAAATGCCTGAGATAAGGCTTCTGACTTTCTGACCCAAGTCAACAGAGAACCAAAGGTATAGCTTTCCTAGCTTTAGCTCCAACTCCTATGAAAAGCCTTGGAGATGTCAGGGTTGTGGAATCCCCGAATGACCAATCCTCAAAGGTAGAGCACTGACAGCAGTACAGCCCAGGCAGTAACTGATACAAACAAATACTATGCCAACAAAAAACAACATATAGCGTCCTTTATGTATGGTAGTATCTCGGAGTGCTTACCAATTGGTGGGGCCTGAAGCTGAGCTATTGGGAAGCACAGCTGAAATGTAATGTCTTCAGGCGCAATTTGAAAATGTGCAACAAAAGGGCAGGGCAGAGGGATTGAAGAAGAGACGTCCAATGTTTCAGGGTATAGTGGCTGAAAGCACGGCTGAAAGCACCATCATCGATGGTAGAGTAGTGTGCGGAGGAGTGTGGAGGAGGGATTAGCAGGAAGCTTTGGTCAGTCGAGCAGAGGTGGCAGGTTGTTGGTTGGACAGTAAGCAGGTTGGAGAGGGAGGGAGTTGCCAGACCACAAAGGGATATGAAGACCTGTGTGTCGATCTTGAAGTTGATCGGTTCTGTGATAGGGAGCAAGTGGAGCCCAGCAAAGACTAGTGTGATGGATGTATGGAGTTTAGAGGGGTGAGTACACGGGAGGTGGATTTCGGAATTAGTTCGAGTTTGTGGAAAGTGTAGCTGGGGAGTCCAGCCAGGAGGGCATTGGAATAGTCCAGGCAGGAGATGAAGAAAGCGTGGACGAGGGATTGAAGTTTCACTTGATCTTACCTAAAAGATGAGAAGCGATCCCTTGTTCCCTTCTTTGTTAAATAAACTGCAGCAGGTCCCAGGTTGTCTGTCTCTGTCACTGTTCGTCTCAGTGAAATAAGTAGATTCCTGACCTTTGTGAGTTTCTCTTCTCCCGTTACTTCAAATACTTTTACATATAAACGACTCACTGTAGAATGATACAAGGAGGAGGTTCTCTGACTTTGAGGATCACGTGTAAGGGTTTGGTTAGCTGCCAATACTGCTCTTCAGTCACTGCAGTAAACAGCAAACATGACGCATAGCTATTTTGCCAAAGTAGTCAAGTTCGGATCTTCACAATTAAGCTAACAATATCGGAAAGTATTGTTCTTGGTTCACTTTCTCAAACCCATTTAGAGTGTTATCTACCTCTACAAGGTCAATTGTGAGATGCTATATCAAATGCAAGATTATTATTATTATTATTAATAATACGCTTTATAAATAGGGGCATAAAATACAAAAGTCAGGAAGTTATGATGAACCTTTAACAAAAACACATTTTAGGCCTCAGCTAGAGACTGTTCCATACTTTCAGAAGGATGTCAATGCATTGGAGAAGTTGCAAAAGAGATTTACCAGGATGGTGTCAGAAATGAGGGACTTCAGTTATCAGGAGAGGCTATAAAAGATAGGATAATTCTCTTTGGAGCAGAGAAGGTTAAGAGGAGACTTAATACAATTTTTCAAAATTATGAGGGCATTCGATAGGGCGAACAAGGAGAAATTATTTCTACTGATGGGTGAGTCGGTAACCCGAGGAAACTGATTTAAAATAGTTGTTAAAAGAAACAGAGGGGAGGTGAGTAGAAATTGTTTCACATAGCCGTTATTGGGATCTCTAATGCATTGCCTGAAAGAGTGGTGGAAGCTGATCCGATAACAATTTTGAAGAGAGAAGTAGATATTTATTTGGAGAGGTCAAGTTTGCAGGGCTATGAGGAGAGCGCGGGGGTATGGGATTGATTTGGAAAAGCTCTTTTCAAACAGCCATTTCAAACAATGAGCCGAATGGCCTCCCTCTGTGATGTACAATTGTATGATTCTAAGCTGTGGCTACAACCTAGGATAATAGGATCGGTAAAGAAATCCAGACAAGCCGGACAAATTAACTTCTTGGTCAGGTTGTGAGCTTGTTGAGATGCCTTTTCACCGTCAGCAATTCCTGATTCAAAACTGCTTTTACTTTCCACATCAGTGTTGCTCCTCCAAGATAACCAGACAGAGGTGTTGTCCAGCTCCGCCCTGTAAGCGTGACATATCAATGGAGTCCATCCTGAGCACAACTACAGAAGACTTTAGGGACGGTTATCTGACTGTGTGTTTTGTGGATGAAATGCAGCAGCCGATTGTGCCCAGCAATGTCACACACACAGTCCTGTGAATTTTCGAGGTCGTGGCATAATCTCCCATCAAGCCTGCTGCTGTTTCCCTTGAGTGTGAAGGAAGGAGGGTTGGAGGGGATAAGGGAGTCAACCTCAGGTGATGTGACTGATGATGTGAGGTGGGAATCCAGGCCACCCTCTGTGGTGGTCTTGATGGTCCAGTTCCCGAGCTGGGTGTAACTGACCACTGAGAGCTCATTGGCTAGGTTTGGAAGCATTGAAACACTTAGCTGTAAATAAGAAGCGCTTTGGGACGTCCTCCCGACGTGAAAAGCGCTATATCAAATGCAAGGATTATTATTATTATTATTATTAAGAACAATACTTGCATTTGATGTAGCGCCTGATCGCATCTTCAAGCCATCTCAAAGTGCTTCAACAATTAGAAACTATTTCCACTGGCAGGTGGGCTGGTAAATTGGACACCGATTTAAAATAGTTGTTAAAAGAAACAGGGGGACGTTGAGGAGAACATTTTTTTTTACACAGCGAGTCTGTTCACAGTTCATGTCTGGAATGTGTGGCCTGACATGGTGGTGGAAGGCGATTCAATAATACCTTTTAAGAGAGTAGATGATAATTTGGGGAGGACAAGTTTGCAAAGCTATGAGGAGAGCGCAGGGAAGTGGGATTGATTTGGGTAGCTCTTTTGAAAGTGCCAGAACAGATACGATGGGCCAAATGGTCTCCTTCTGTGCTGCATAATTGCATGATTCCATCTATAGCTAGAATGTAGGCTAACAGGATTGGTAAAGAAATCCAGAGAAACTGGACAAATTAAATCCTCGGTCAGACTGTGAGCTTGATGTTGAGACTCCATTTCATCCTGAGCAATTCCTGATTCAAAGCTGCTTTTAATTTCAACATCAATGTTGCTCCTCCAAGATAACCAGACAGAGTTGCTGTTCAACTCCGCCCTGTAAGCTTGACTTATCAACGGAGTCCATCTGGAGCACAACTACAGAAGACTTTAGGGATGGTTATCTTTGAAAGGGGTTTAGAGACACAACCAGTGTTTGCAATGGCAAAGCAAAATTCTAGCAACTGCAATGCACACCACCCCCACCCCACACACTCCCTGCTCCTCAAGCCTTGGCACTTGGCAAACTGATCCTCATGCAGCCAAACCTGTCATCAACAACGACTCAGTGAACTGGCCCAAAGTATAAACCCTGAGAAACGTTTGGTTGTTAGCAGAGAGTGGGGGCTCAACATAATAATCCTTGCATTTGATACAGTGCCTTACCATGTCTTTAAGACGTCTCAAAGCACTTCACAGGGTATAAAGTGTAGTGACTCTGTATTTTGGGGGTGAAACACGGAAGTGAATAGTGCATGGCAGTGCCCTACAAAGAGTCGTGCACTGAGCGACCAACTTACTGTTACTTTTGCAGGGACTATTACCCCTAGCAACTGATCCACCAATCGACTAAAAAGGGGGTTTCAGTGGCTTGGGCTATCATCCCGATGTGAAAGGTGTGTTATAAATGTAATGTTGTTGTTGTTCCGACTTGCTGCAGGTACACCTGTGTGTGCGGCAGTTTGTACGGAGTAAGGAAACGTGCCTAAATTTGTGCCCTGACCTGCCAGGGAATCGAACCCAGCTCCTCTAGCTTGTGAGGCGAGGTTCTAACCACTGAGCTAAAGGACGTACAGGACAAGACCACCTGGTCAAGAGCTTCGTGGGGAGGGGGCGGCAATGGTGACGTAGCAGGAGCCCTACGCGGTGAGACACAGAGAGACACAGAACTGCGAGAGAGAGAGAACCACCCCCCCACCCCACCAGCACCCCAACAGGGACAGTTAGAGAGAAAGAGAAGAGCACACCCTCACCCCCACCAGAGGGACTGTTAGTGAAGGAGAGGACACCCTACTCCATAGGGTCAGTCAGAGAGAGAGAGAGAGAGAGAAGCCCCCCTCCCTCCAACCCCCTTAGTGACAATTAGAGAGACAGAAGATCTGCACCCTCCCCCCCACACACATAGGCACACTTAGAGAGAGAGAGAGAGAGAGAGAGAGACAGAGAGAGAGAAAGGAACCCCAATCCCTCCAGAGCGACAGTTAGAGACACAGAGGAGCACCCAACCCCCCCCCCCCCACAAGGGACATTTAGAGAGACAGAGGAGGCCCCCTCCCCCACAAACAGGCACGGTGAGGGAGATAGAGGAGCCCCCCACCCACAGGAACAGTTAGAGAGACAGAGGAGCTCCCACCCCCCCACAGTAACAGTTAGAGAGCGTGAAGAGCCCTGATTCCTCAGAACCAACAGCTCCCCGACTCCGAGGTGACAGCCTCCGCTTGAGCCAGGCTGACTGACCGACGTCTTAAACCAATAACAATAATAATAATGATCCGGGCATTTAACACAGGGTCTTATCATTTCTTCAAATCGCATACAAAAAAGTTAGTCAAAGGAAGAGTGGCGCCGATTAGGAACTAATTAAGAGATTTTCTTCTGGAGGCAGAGGGCATGGCTGCCGTACTGATTAAATAGTTTACACAAAAGAAGGTCTTTACAAAAGAAGGGGATGCAGCCATTCCCGCAACATCGGAGCAGAAGCTAGAGAAATTGGATAAGGTAAGAATAAACTGAGAGGAAGTACTAAAACGTTTGTCAGCGCTCAAGGTAGATAAACCACTCAATCCGGATGAGATGCATCCTAGGTTACTGAGGCAAGTAAGAGTGTTAATAACTGTGGTCAAAATCTTTCAATCCTCCTCAGTTAATAATAATAATCCTTGTATTTGATATAGCACATGTCATGTCTTCTCGACGTCTCAAGGTGCTTCACAGAATATACTGTAAAGTGAATTGCCTGTATATTCGTGGGCGAACCGTTATGATGAACCTTTATAAAACATTGGTCAGGCCTCAGCTGTAGTATTGGGTTCAGTTCTGAGCCCCACTCTTTGGGAAGTATGTCAAGGCATTGGAGAGGAAGCAAAAGAGACATACCAGGATGCCATCAGTAATGAGGGACTTCAGTTATCAGGAGAGGCTAGAAGAGCTAGGATTATTCTCCTTGGAGCAGAGGGGGTTAAGAGGAGACTGAATAGAAGCTTTCAAAATTATGAGGGTATTTGACAGGGTGAACACGGAGAACCTAGTTCCAATGGTGAGTGGGTCGGTAAACCTGAGGGCACTAATGTAAATTAGTTGTTAAAAGAAACAGAGGGTAGGTGAGGAGAATTTTTTCACATGAATTGTGGGCATCTGGAATGCATTGCCTGATAGGGGAGGTGGAAGCCGATTCGATAACAAATTTTATGATAGCAGTAGATATTCATTTGGGGAGAACAAGTTTGTAGGGCTATGAGGAGAGCGCGGAGGTGTGGGATGGCTTTCAAAAATCTATTTTCAAAGAGAGGGCATAGACACGATGGGCTGAATTGCCTTCTTCTGTGCTGTATAATTGTATGATTCTAAGCTCTGGCTACAACACAGCATAACAGGATCATTAAATAAATCCAGACAAACCGGACAAATTAACTCCTCAGCCGGACTGTGAGCTTGTTGAGATGCCTTTTCACTCTTAGCAATTCCTGATTCAAAATTGCTTTTACTTTCAATGTCAGTGTGGCTCCTCCAAGATAACCAGACAGAGTTCCTGTCCAACTACACCCTGTAAGTGTGACTTATCAACTGAGCACAACTACAGAACACTTTAGGGACAGTTATCTTTGAAAGGGCATTAGAGACACACCCAATGTTTGCAACTGCAAAGCTAAATTCCAGCAACTGCAATGCACGCTGTACGCTCTG